AGAGAGAGAGAGAGAGAGAGAGAGAGAGAGAGAGAGAGAGAGAGAGAGAGAGATGCAGGCACACACACATACATGGTGGAAGCCCAAAGACAACTTGCAAGAGTTGGTCCTCAGTTCTTCCACCACGGCCCTAGGGACCAAATCCTGGTTGCCACCTGGTTGCCAGGCGCCCACAGCAAGCACCTCACGTATCCAGAAATCCTGCCAATCATTCCATCCCAACCCCAAGTCTCTGCCCAACGATAACATACCCCGGGTGGGTCTTCCTCACTCAGCTCATACCCACATACCAATATTCTCTGGAAACACCCTCTCTCAGGGCACACCCAGACGTATGTACGGCGTGTGTTCTGCTAGGTATCCCCCTCTGCACCCACACACACAGTTCAAATCATCCCTTTATCTTGGAATCATGGAGCCTAAAGGCTCCTGGTCTTGTCTTGGTGTAGTGCCGTGAGATCTCCGGGCCTTGCCAAGAATTGCCTACCCTATCAAGAACAGCCGCAGAGGAGAGGGTGGAGGTTGGAGGGGGGACCCGAGGAAACCCAGTGACTAAAGGTCTCCACCTCTCAGGCTCCCACCTCCATCTCCACGGTTGCCGTTCCGCACCGCTTCCTGGAGGAGTTCCTCCGAACGGCTGACTCAGAATTTAGACTTTTGCATTTAGACTCTACTAGAATTAAATTAAGGGCTTCAAAGACTTATGCCAAGTAGTAACGGGAACTAAGAAATTAAAAGTCCTTAGATGTATAAATTTATGAAATGCAACATGTTGGGTTCCTCGGGAATTCTAATGGAAAGACTCCTTGGGGACAAAGAGCAGACCCACAGGCAGCCTAGTGACGTGAACTGTTTGTTGAGGTGTGTTCCCAAGAAGACTGACGTGTGATTACGCTCTCCCCATCCCCTCCAGTGTCTCTTGAGATCTTGGCTCGTCCATTCAATCCTCCTCTTAGAGAGCAGCATCCTCTACCACGCTCTTGTTTTCTGCTTCACCTTGCGCTGGCTGCTGCCTTTCCTGTGGTCCAGGCTGACAGGCGGTCTGACCCTCCACAGCAGTGATACATTCTCTCTCTCCTACTCCCTGCCCGCAGAGTTCCTAACCCATGACTGTGGCATCCTGTCAGCAACCACGGCACGCCTCCCACAGTGCCTCCAACAGGACAGGTGGCATTTGCTGCCGACTCAGAAACACCACCTGGCTTTCCTAAGAACACCCGCTAAATGCACAGCCGTGGGAAGAGGGCAAATATCAGACGGGCTAATCCTTCAAATGTCGAACAAAACTGACGTCAAAGGGAGACTTCTCGGTCATCGCCCAGGAAAGCTGTGTGTAGCTGAGGCTTCCCCGCAGCCCAAAGATGGAGAGTCAGTGCTACAACCCAAGGTCAAGGGTCAAGGCCCCGTCTCGAACATGCATTCTAAAATTAAAACTATACAATGGACAGGGGTGTGGTTGTATTTAATACCACGGGTCACACTAACGCAGGAAAGCAAGCCACAGCTCACTGTTAGAGATAAACTCTGGCGGGCTCGGTGACTGCAGACAGCAGACAGCTTACCTTGTGTCGCTCAGCCCACATCCACAGGGTGCTAACTTGCCCCCTAGACTTGTGATGATTTTTCATTTCAGCCCCATACATGGAAGAGAACTGTGCATGTTCTCTCGGACCTCATTGCCAACTCTAGGACCTCAAAACAGGGAAAGTGGTTTGGGAACACAGCAAAACGCTAGTTTTCTTCATTTAAAAATAAACGTCCCTTTGCCCTGGGG